TACAGGATAAACAGCTGAGGAAGGATCCTTCTTCTACGACAGACTGTGGTTTGCAAAATGTTTTTGCACATTTCAAGAACTAGTAATGATGTTTTTATTATAGGACACGTCCACAAGGCACTTCTACAGATGACTTGAGGAATCGAGCATGTGCACACATGCATATGAGTGCAACTGATAAGCTTGCTTCAGTGAGGGAAGGGCAGGAGGGCAAACTGGTGGCAGGTGGCCGACCGCACCAGATGAGATTAAAAAAAACCCAAAAAAACAGACGCTGACATGCAGGTAAAAAAACAACCACATTGTACAATTAAATGTCAGGATGAGTGAGTGAACTGCTCTGATTGTGGTTGCATTACGGTGAACACCTGCAGACACCTACTTGGCAGCAGCAGAACCGTGAGCTGTGTATTCAGATTAATGATGACTGATGTCTCCTGTGCACTGATGATGTCAACAGCACTGTAATGGAGCAATGTCAGACCGAGGCCAAACACGTGGAGATACGAGGAGCAGAGAGTCATGCACACCTGGATGCACAATCACAGCCCATTGTGTGGATTTCCAGAGACATGCAGCATGTGTGCATGGAGTGTTATAAAAGCAATGAGCTGTCATGTCTCTCCTCTCCAGATACGGTCTTTATTAATTATATCATACAGCACACAACAGAAGGGAGCAAACTCCTGTGCAAAATCCCCAAATGTCTCAAAAATTGCATTATTTCTAAGTTTGAGAGTGTTTGTTCTCATGAATGATCAAACACTAACACTATAGAAAGACCACACTGACAATACAGGCTCCAAAGTAGAAACTCAATGCAGCAAAAGTGAAAACACTCGGGATCACAGATCCACTGTGATTTCCAATCAGCCTAACTGCATGAACACGTTCCTAAAATGAGCTTGGAGCAGCAGAACTTTTGTAGTTTTGGACCTATGAGCTGTGTCTATCTGCATGTCTACATCATGGCTCTACATGGAAAAGAATTGCCAGAGGAACTGAAAAATCAGGAAGATCTACTAGAAATCAGTGGTAACACAGTTGCAACAGTAATCAGTAGGCACAGAAGGAGCCATTATAGCACTAATCAGGGCTCCAGTGGTCGTCCTAATAAAGCGACTTAACAGACAGTGCACTATCATCTCAATCAAGCTCTGAAAAATAGACAGCAGCTGATTCAGACTGAGCACAGAGGATGTCGATGGAAATCAGCTCAGACAGTGTTAAGGACATGTCATAACATCAACCTCTATGGACACAGGACCAGAAAAAGCTTACTCTTGCTTACACAAAACTTCAAGATTAAATTTAGCCAAAGAACATGAAAAGAAGCCTGATGAATATTGGGAGAACATTCTTTGGTCAGATGAGACAAAGATAAATATGTTGGGCTCAGATAGACTCCTGCATGTTTGGTGGGAACCAGGCCAAGACTACCACAGTGACAGCATAGTCCTGACAGTGAAGCAAGGAGATGGGAGTGTGGTGATAACAGGTGTTCTGGAGATGACATTTATAGATGCGCCATAAATGTCTTTGGATATATCAAAATACTGACTAGATGACTCCCTGTCTGGAGAAGCTTGGCAGGAGGGGAATATTCCAGCATGATAATCATCCAAAGCACAAAATCACGCAAGATTTTTTAAAGAAGGGAAAAGTGAAATGTGACAGAATTATGACCTGACTTGAATCCAATAGAGCACCTTAGGGGCATTTTAAAGAGAAATGTAGAGCAACACAACCCCTCCAGCAAAGAGCAGCGTAAAAAAGTAGTCTGTGAAGAATGACAGAACATCTCTGCAGAAATTTGGTGTCTGACATCAAAAATAAAGATGGACAAATGAAGTACCACTGCCTGTATCTGTAACACAGTGAACCTAAACTGTAAATCCAGATTCCCTCCCTTTTCTCTTCACACTTTAGTCAATAGCCCACTGTTACACTCCTGAAGTGTGTCATAAAAATAAGGTATTTGGCAGGTATTGCACATGTTCCGTGTGCAAACAGGTAAGCTTACATGTGGTGTTTAAACAGTCCAGTGAGGCAGCAGATATAAAGAGAGCCTTTTAAGCAGGTATGTTTAAATACAGTAGAGCTACTGTTGTTTGCAGCGAGCTAACACGGAGCACAGGGAGCGTCTGTCTGAATCTGACCTACAGCGGACTCAAGGTGCCCCATCAAAGAAGACCTGCCTCCTGAGGAATCTAGGCCAGAGAGGTGCTGTGGGAGCTTTGCAGGTGTGCAGGTGTATGGGAGCGTGTCTTTATTAATGACTATAATCTCAGGCAGAGTCTTGTGATGCTTTTGCAGCAGCAGAAAACAGTGACAATAATGGAATTTCCTTGCCAAACACGTAGTCAAGACGTCATAAATCATGTTTGGATGTTGACAGACAAAACATTCACTGATGTGCATCATGTAATTTTACAATCAGTCTTGATGTCATCATTTCAGGCCATGTTGCGTCTCCTCGCTCTCACAGATTTGCAGATAACGCCTCCTGCATCTTGACATTATCTGATAGATGTTTCTGTTTGTATGTGGGCACAAAGCTGTCTCAGTGCTCCGGTCTGAATGTTCTGACCCGTGCCGAGGGTCAAACCTGTTGCATCATCGTCACAAAGCCCATTCATTCATTCATACACACATGCACACCCACTCTGGCTGCAGCAGGGTCATAAATTCTCGGCTGGAAAATATTCCGGTTAGCATAAAATCAGGAATGTTTCAGCAGCGACTATATATCTGCCAAAATGAGGAAAGAGTGCACAGGGAGTTGAGATGTGCTCACAGTTATTTTTAAAGTCACACTGCCCCCCAGTGGTTCTGAGAGGAACTGCAGACTGCAAGCATTTCTATTCATCACATTCCGTTATCGGGCTGCACAGTGGATCGGTGGTTAGTACCGTTGCCTCACAGCTAGAAGGATGCCCCGTCATGTCCCATCTTTCTGTGTGGAGTTTGCATGTTCTCCCCGTGCAGCGTGGGTTCTCTCCGGGTTCTCCGGCTTCCTCCCACAGTCCAAAAACATGTTGAAGTTAATTGGTGAGTCTAAATTGTCCATAGGTGTGAATGTGAGTGTGCTTGGTTGTCTGTCTCTAAGTATAGCCCTGTGATAGACTGGTGACCTGTCCAGGGTGTCCCCTGCCTTCACCCTAAGTCAGCTGGGATAGACTCCAGCCCCCCACGACCCTAGTGAGGACTAAGCGGTGTATAGATGATGGATGGATGTTCCATTACCGCTGCAGCATCCAGATCAATTTACTCACAACCGAACAAATTCTTATTGGCTGGACAAGCTCAGGGGGTAGTTTTATAAGAGGTAAAGCTCTCCATCAAAAGCCGTCCAGGATTAATAGATAATTTTTTTGGTAGTAGGGGAAACAGACAACCTGTGTTTTCACAAATTTGAACTGACCCAACTTCATGGAAACTGCTAGGTTTCGAACCTATTTAATGTTTACAAAATGTTAGCTTAGATTAAAAAAAGAGAGAAAAAAAAAATTGCATACAAACAGAAATAAGCAATAAATACAAAAGCAAAACAAAACATAGAACTGACAGCCAATCCAGTATGAGCTGTATGTATAACTTGCATATTACTTAGCTGGCGCACCCAGACAAAATGCAAAATGCAAATAAATAAAAAGAACTTTGCTTGTTCACAAACTGCAAACTTCATGATTTTGCAGCAGGAACCAGGGAAACTTTTGAAAAAAAATTAACTACAGTGCTGCCCGTTTATTGTTATACCCTCGGTCCAAGATGGATTTATGACTATATCCAGGATATTCCAATAGGTGGGCTTATTACTCATTTATTTATTATTAGACTAGTGTATCAAAGTGTCTGCACTGGTAGAACACTGAGAAAACTGTGTCTGTATGATGAAAAACAGGGATTTATAAAGCCAAAGTGGGAATGTTTTCACAAGACCAAAGGGACAGTTTCTTTAAAGATCAAGAGATGTTTATCAAAATGGAGCTTTATAGTTCTGCTTCAGTGAAATTTCACCTTTGTTGGTACAAAAAGCCACCCCATTAATAAAAGTTATTTCCTTTATTCAGAGAGCATACAGAGGATTAACTTATCATGATTAACTAGCTGAGCAGTTCAGCTATGAGTAACGACATGCTCTGCAGTAATGTGATTCTCTTTGATGGGCCCTAATTAACGTCAGGCAGTGTGTGAATAACTCAGCAAAGCAGATCTCAGGTCAGCAGGTAATTGACAAACAAACAAACACGTTGCCTTCCGTGGGTGAACCGGGTGTGATAATCTGCCACACATGACCAACGCTCGGCCCGTGAACTGTAACGATTGGCCGACCATGACTTTAAACAGGCAAAAGTTACTCCTGGAATCAATTTCAGGGAATTTTGTCATGACAAAACCAGGAATATGACATTATTCTATGACAATACACGGGCTGTTTTACTATAGGTTGTATAGGAAATGATTCAGGACTTCAATATTTTATGACTATAAATGAGATATTTTATAAAGCGGTATGACATTAAGTGGGCAGCACTGTAATAATAAACTAACGTAGTAAAAAAGTTTTTAAAAAAATAAAATTAAATAAAATGCTGAGTTATTTGTACTGGGCTATTCATTCAAGAAACAATTCAGCCACAACTGAGTGGCAGTTATTAATAAGGTAAACTAACTCCTCATTTGTTGGTCGATATGTTCTCATCCGACTAAGTTCTCTTTGGTTGGAGAATCTCTCGTGTTACTTTCATATTAATTAAACGTTCTAGGACGAATTCATTATTTTTTGTAGTAGGAGGCGACCTGTGAACACCCGCGTTTCATATCTTTGAACTGGCCCAATCAGATAAGCTGCAAATACTATCTTTTTTATTTTTATTTAGAATTCAATGTCTGTCGAATAAGACTTTCCTTGGTGGACGACTACACTTTATCATCACTGAGGAGTTTGACACAGAAGGTTCTGCATGTAGGATTTAGGAAGAGAGCTGTGATTTTACCTGTATGGGTCTGCCATCCTCTCCTCCGATCATGTTCCTCCACTCCATCAGTGAGCGCTGCAGAGTGTCCAATCCGGTTTCCCAGAGCCGGACGTAGCCGCCCATATCCACCGTGACCACACCTCCAGAGCTGAGAGCAGCGATCAGCACATCCGACTCCGACACCTTCGACAACCAGCTGGTGTAAGGAGACACTGTCATCGACCTGCAAAACCACAAATATGTAGAAGACAGGACACTTAGAGAAGTTATCAATGCTTTCACAGAAGACCTGTTTGGATGGTCACACTGAAATCGACTTAAGTTGTCAAAAAAAAAAAAAAAAGGGTAAGAACACATTTTACTGTTTGCCTGAACCTCAAACCATGCAAGTGGGTGTCAAAATGCATGTTTAGATTGTTTTTTATTTTAGATATGTTTTGGGGCTTTTTTGCCTTAATGATAGTTGACAGTGAAGATAGAGAAACGTGGGGAGAAGAGTGGGGGAATGACATGCAGCAAGTGAGCCACTGGCAGGAATCGAACCACGCCGCTGCATCAGCGACTACAGCCCCTGTACATGGGTTCCCAGCCTGTTGAGCTATCCAGGCACCCTAGATTTTTTTCTTCTAATCTGCAAAATTATACCATTTATCAGAGCCAGAAACTATTAAAGCAAAAGGAATTAAATGCTTTTAAACTTTCAGCGAGTCTAGTCACGTATGACTTCTTGTTACATCAATAAAATTTGCCAAATCTCTGCTTAAAACTGCAATATTTCATCGAAATCAAAATGTACTACATGTCTCTTCATTTAAAATGCCAAAATGTGCAGCAGATTCTGCTAAAAATAAATGATTCCACACTCATCATCATTAGCAAGAAGCCATTTGTGAATCAGCTCACTTGACATGAATTTAGGGGCCATTCGGTTTAACTGCAGGCAGTGTTTAAAGATAATAGAGATCAGACACGTATGGAAACAAATTTAGAATTTATGTAGTAAAATATCTATAGTATGTAGAGTCAGTATTTATTCCAGCATTGCTAACACCTGTGGACACTTGGAAACATGTTGCACAAGTTGACTCAAGGTTTTGTTTCCATTTTTGTAAAATAAAAAAAGAAATTCCACTTTCACTTTTTTTAATGATTAATAGAACTAGAAATGTGTCAGATGGCACAGACAACATTTCTGAGTCCTCTCTATTTCTAGTCATGGTTATGTTATTTCCACAGAGGTGCAGAACATTGTATTGCAGAAAAATGAACACACAGTTAAGAAAAAGGTAACAGGAGCAAAGAAAAAAAGGTTAAATTCTACCTAACTATGACATAAAAAACAAAACAGACAGAATTCTCAGCATTTCGCTTTTCTTTATACACTGCCGTCTCTGACCACCAGCTGGTGCCAGAGGATACAAAATCACAGTATATTGTTGCTCTTCAAGTATTGCAACGTGAGTGTGCAAACAGGTGTGCTGGGATTACCTGGGGACGGGAATATATTTGAGCTTTTTGGAGTTCAGATCAGTGACTTCCAGGTACGCTGCCGTCATCGGAGGTGTGACATCTGAGGGACCAAAACAAACAAACTCAACATGCTGTCAGTTCGGATTCTGTCATGTTTTCAGTGAGTGTATTTACATGGTCTGACCTTTGGGGTAAACCTCCTTCAGGGGCACCTTGCTGGGCGGAAGGGCTCGGACCACCTGGTTGGCCGAAAGCAGACTGACACAGTTGTCCCGTTTGGGGATGTTGGTCCGAAGCCCGCCTCTGAAGAACATGTTAGCGCCGCTGTCGCTCTTCATCTCTGACAGGTCAACGGGCCGGTTGAAGCTGTACACCTCGTTAGGAGACTGGCCAAAGACAGACATCAAGAGGAAAATGTCACCACCTATATAGCTGTGAGTGCATTAATATTCATCACCGAGCTCTAGGCTTTCATCTTCTCTTCAGTTTTTTCATGCATACACTAGGAGAGAAAAGCCAATCTTAAATATATTTACTTCATTGGTTTGGAGAGAATTTCAGAGAATTGTAGAATTTCAGTGGTACTGGCATCAAATTATTACATCAGTCAAGTTATACTCCATAATATTCTGTATTACAGTTTGGTCAAGTAATCTTTTATATAATGTTGGGAGGTTTTAATCCCTAATATGCAAATTACACCAGTAAAATCACACCATAAGTAACGTTATAGTGTCCTAATCCCACTATTTAAACTTTGTAGGTTAATTTGTAACATTAATCATAATCCTTATCAGCTGGAAAGCAATTTAACCTGGTTGTCTTAAATATGCTGTATAAAAAAAAGAAAAAAAGAAAGATTACAAGTTTTCAGTTATTAGTCTTTTTTCAGACCTGATGGATCTTGCAACAAAGCAAAAGAGCTGAACACATGACACTTTCAAATGTTGCTCCATAAAGCTGAATTAAAGAAACTAACTTGTACCAAACAAATGTCCCGTATTTTGAATAAATGGAGTAACCTTAACTTTGCACAAAGAAGACGCCACCATGCCTGGTCACACACTGTCTGAACCTGAAAACATATCACATTAGAGTCTCACCATGAGGTCTGGGAAGCCCACAACAACTCGTGCAAAGCAGCTGGTATCGGCCAGCAGCCGGTTCGGAGAAACTATCTTCTGGTTCAGGGCAGCGCTCAGGTTCTCGTTGGGCAGCTGCTCGCAGGACAGCATCTGTGGAGTGGAACCCCCGGCTGGGATGGAAGGAGTCAGGAGACGGAGCGTGATGGAGCAAAGACAGAGAAAGGGTGCGATTATTGAATAAAAGGCCTTGTGTTTACGGGCCAGAATGTGCTGCATCCGTCCATTATATCAGCGAAGAAACAACATTCGGAGCCGATTCATTTTGTCTTTCATTGTACTCAGAAAAGCAGACAAGTTATGATATATGTCTCAATATTACTCATGATTTCACATTTGTTTCTCACTAACTTGCAGTGGCAGGATTTCTTTTACTTATTGAGGCATGTGTGGTTCCCCCAACCTTGTTTAAAAAGCTGT